GGCCCTCAGAGCCACAGCGGGCCATGGTCCCAGCCGACGCGGGCAGCCTCAGCGGGGCCCCGGGCAGGGGGCTGCGTTCGTCCCGCCCACCCCCGGCGCGGAGGGCAGATTCCCAGCCCACACACAGTTGTAGATCTCTTAGGAAAAGAAGATGTTTGAAAACCAGAGAAAAGGGCATAAAACCAACGCTGGCTGCCTGAGGGTACAGAACCAGAACACAAACACGCTCAGCCTTTGCTTCGGCAGCCTCAGCGGGGCCCCGGGCAGGGGGCTGCGTTCGTCCCGCCCACCCCCGGCGCGGAGGGCAGATTCCCAGCCCACACACAGTTGTAGATCTCTTAGGAAAAGAAGATGTTTGAAAACCAGAGAAAAGGGCATAAAACCAACGCTGGCTGCCTGAGGGTACAGAACCAGAACACAAACACGCTCAGCCTTTGCTTCTCAAACCAGAGCAAAAGTGTGTCAAATTCCAGCCGTTCCGCAAAAGCTGCACCCAGCGAACACTGCCCAGCCCTCGACACGTTAACACGTCACGTTCATTCTGCAAAGGGCTGGCACAGCCATGCAAGGACCCAAAATGAAAACTTCCTTTAGCCATTCTGGAGCACTGGCCTTTTCCACTCCTCCCGAAAGCAGGGACGCAGTTACTTTGTGACCAACGTGACCAAAAATTAAATGTCTGATTTAGGCATTAAAAGAATTTCAGTTAAAGAAATATTTGCAAAATGTTACCCAGCTAAAAGTTAGGAAATGTCAGTATTAATATGGTCTGTGCAATCTAAAAAGAGGAGTAAAAAAATAAGGAACCTATTAGAGCGAGAAATGGGTCATAAAATACAGGTTAACTACAGTCAAAAGCCAAACACTCAAAAGTTAGGAAATGCCAGTATTAACATGGTCTGTACAATCTAAAAGGGGAGCAAAAATATAATGAACATTATCGCAAGAAATTGATCATAAAATACAGCTTAACGACAGCCCCAATCCCCAAAGTCCCCAGAGTTTCCAACAGAATTTAGAAAAACACCACCACCACCATTTGAAGAAGCCGCTTGTGGCGTGTGAGCTCGAAATCTACAAAGCTCAACATCTCCCCCTCTTCATCCTTGCTCCTTCCTGGTGAAAGAGCCCTGCAGCCGCCCCGAGCCCCAGATTGCTCAGCGGTGCTCGAGGTGGGCTCAGCTCTCTGTCCACGGGCTCCAGGTTGTAGGAGCAGGTCCTGCCAGCTGGCATTGCCACGTCTGCCCCTTGCACACTGCGCCGAAGCAGCCCAGCCCGCAGAGGGAAAGGTGGCAGCGACACGTCGTAACCGCGTCTCAACCCCACAAAGTTGAGTCAGGTTTCAAACAATACAATAAACAGAACAAAGACGCTAAACGAGATGCAAATGAACCTGCACACTGTGCAGCTGTCAAGATCGCCACGTGGTGCCTTCCCACGCTCACTGCTGGCACCGGTTAACGAGGGGAGGTCTCCCTTCAGGAACAGAGGGGTTTGGTTCAGTGCTCCCAGTGCTGGGAGCTGTGGCTGTGGGTGGCTGATGCTGCTTTCTCTTAGTGCGAAGCTGCTTGTGCCACCCAGACTCAGCTCCCTTGTGCCGAGTCCTGGCACCTTGCACCTGTCACGTTGTCTCGCTGGCTGACCGTGCTGGCACCGGTTAACGAGGGGAGGTCTCCCTTCAGGAACAGAGGGGTTTGGTTCAGTGCTCCCAGTGCTGGGAGCTGTGGCTGTGGGTGGCTGATGCTGCTTTCTCTTAGTGCGAAGCTGCTTGTGCCACCCAGACTCAGCTCCCTTGTGCCGAGTCCTGGCACCTTGCACCTGTCACGTTGTCTCGCTGGCTGACCGGGTCACTCGCGCCACAGAAGTCAGGGCCGTCCAGTTCTGCCCAGCAGGGGCAATCTCAGTAAGACCTGCCCTGAAATGCAGCCACAGCACTGGGGTTCACATT